GACCCGTCTACGAAAAGGGTTAATAAGAAAAAAGGAAATGAAACATAAAACTGGAGCAGAGTCTTGAATGCAATTGTTGATTGCCATGAAAACAAGGTTTAAAATCTTGCAGTCTTTACTGTACTGAAGTTTATTCAGTACAAAAACTGGAAAACAGACAGTAAATATATGTGAATGTTAGTAAAACACTTGGAGCTGTATATGTATTTATACATGCCAGATAAATTATTAGGTAGAAAGATTAGTTTGTTTTTTAATATTTTTGTTAAAACCACAACAGAAAACCTTTTCCAAAATGTTATATACTAATTTGGAAATAACTCTCTCCATATGAAGATGATGTTTAGTTCAGTTTCACAGGAAGTTACATTAAATATTCCTAAGTGGAAACTGATCTATCCAACTTGTGCCATACCTCTGCATTTGTCTTTTCAGAGTTTTGAGTTTTGGAAAAAACCTTGGGAGGAAATCCATGGCCTCTTCTCTGTTAGGTACAGGATTAGGACGATTGTACTGTAGATTATGTAAGAAATCCAGAGAGTCAAGTAACATACCACTGTTCATGAAAAGAAAGAATAAAACAAAATTTTGACATATGTTTTATTTACAAAACAATCGTACAGTCACACAGTTGAGCAAAACTTTAAAATACAATAATTATTATTTATACAGAAATATTTTGCCTTCTTATGAAATTGTTCCCACAGAATTACATTAGATTTATCTTCACTGTTACCACTAAAAAAACTCAAACAAAATGAAAAGTGGAATTACTAAATGTATACAGATTTATATCAAATTAATAAATAAGTTAGAAGTAAGTGGTTATTTATCTTCCATTCTTTAAGTTATAATAATAGGTAGCAACATCTAAATCAAGCAGATTATTTATTTTCTGTTACTTGGTTTATATTAAATGGTGTAATATAAAAACAAATTAATTTCCATCTATTTTTCAAGCTATTTTCTATTATCTTGGATTATTATGACAAATATTTCCACTTTACTTTTATATGATTATGCTAAATTATAAATGACAATAGAAGATTCATCCACGTTTAAACTACAATACTTAGAAATTTCCTTAATGCACTGAAACTTTTATAAAGTACACTTCTTAGAAAGTACTTATCTCATATGATTAAGGACTTCCCACACAGCACACGTCTTACAAAGTACTTACCTCACATGATTCACGACTTCCCACACAGTCACACTTCTTACAAAGTACTTACCTCACATGATTCAGGACTTCCCACACAGTCACACTTCTTACAAAGTACTTACCTCACTACTTAAACATTTCTAGAACACATTTCTTATGAAGACAAGGTACTTACCTCACATGATTAATGACTTCCCACACAGCACATGTCTTACAAAGTACTTACCTCACATGATTAAGGACTTCCCACACAGCACACGTCTTACAAAGTACTTACCTCACATGATTCACGACTTCCCACACAGTCACACTTCTTACAAAGTACTTACCTCACTACTTAAACATTTCTAGAACACATTTCTTATGAAGACAAGGTACTTACCTCACATGATTAATGACTTCCCATACATACCGAAACATCTCAAAAACCCGTTTCTGCTGAGATTCTGTACATAATGGTCTACTGTCTATCAACTGTACTTCTAACTGTGTGCTATAAAAAAAATTTACTCAAAATGAATACTTATGAAAGCATTATTTCTATATTGCAAATTTAATAAGAATAAGACATATTCTTTAAGACAGACCACTGATTACCATCAAAACATATAAAACTACTTTCCTGTATAGGTTTATAAATAACAATGGAGTAAAAAAATATAAAACTACTTTCCTCAATAGGTTTATCAATAACAATGGAGTAAAAAAATATAAAACTACTTTCCTCAATAGGTTTATCAATAACAATGGAGTAAAAAAATTGCTTGAGCTTGAATTGGTAAAAACTTCAATGTTACTAATTAAAATTGCTATACAAATATTCAAAATTAATGTTAATGGCTGTCAAAAGTCAAGTGTTAATCTACAGTTAACTAAGCACTAAACAATACATCTGACTTTATAGTTGTACATGTTTTAAAAACATCATCATCATAAAAAGAAAGGTACGATTACTAAAGAAGGGCACCCCAGTAGTAAAGGCCTTTATCAATATAGAGCAGTTGATCTTTAATCAAAAGTTTTACAACAACTTTCCAGTGAATACAAAATTGGAATCAGAAAAAAATAAGTACACAGACTCTAATCCATATTTAGGCTAAAATAAGTATTTTGGATTTTCTATTAAAGTGTACTGTATATCAAATTTGTCAGCTAATTTTTAATATAAAAAGACAAATTATATATATATATACTTCATACAAATCTGATCCACACTGAGAGAATGGCAGTGTTTTCGCAACTGTTTTAGTCTCTCAATAGATGCTGATGTTGAGCCATAGATCCGCTGAATACAGTAAGAGAGCGAGATAGCAGAACTGAAGAAGTTCAGAGCATTTTTTTTCTCACATATGTTTCCTGTTAAATAAATAAACTTCTTAACAACTGTAATTATTGAACAATTAGAAGCATGCAAAAATTCCATTTCTTTTGTATTCTACAGTACTTGTTTCTATGGCTCTAGTTTTGTTTCTTTGTATTCTACAGTACTTGATTCTACGGCTCTAGTTTTGTTTCTTTGTATTCTACAGTACTTGATTCTACGGCTCTAGGTTTGTTTCTTTGTATTCTACAGTACTTGTTTCTATGGCTCTAGTTCTGTTTCTTTGTATTCTACAATACTTGTTTCTATGGCTATAGTTTTGTTTCTTTGTATTCTACAGTACTTGATTCTATGGCTATAGTTTTGTTTCTTTGTATTCTACAGTACTTGATTCTACGGCTATAGTTTTATTTCTTTGTATTCTACAGTACTTGATTCTACGGCTCTAGTTTTGTTTCTTTGTATTCTACAGTACTAGTTTTGTTTCTTTGTATTCTACAGTACTTGATTCTACGGCTCTAGTTTTGTTTCTTTGTATTTTACAGTACTAGTTT